GGGTGGGTGGGTGGGTGAATGGATGGATGGACGAATGGGTGGGTGGATGGTCAGATGGATAGATGTAAAAAGAAAGAAAACTGAAATACATGTTGAAAATAGCATCTCTCTTCTGGGTGAAAATAACCATGTTAGAGGGTTAGCCCCAGACACCTTGAACCTTCTCAGTTCAATATGGCCTAGGACTTACAGAGACAATCCTGATTCTCTATGCCTTATTGTGGTGATATATTGTGTACCCCAATATAGCTTGCCTGAGGATCAGAGGACAGAGCCAGCCACTAGATTAGACACAGAGCCAGGCAGTGGTGACAAACACCTTTAATCCCAGAAATGAGGGCAGGGTGGAGAAATAAGGCATGAGGAAACAGAACTAAAGCAGTTCAGCTGAGACCCTTTTGGGTGAAGACTGGAGGATTTCAGGCAGAGGATTCATGGAGTTGGCGAGGTGAGGCTGGCTGTGGCTTGCTCTGCTTCTCTGATCTTTCAGCTTTCACCCTGATATCTGGCTCTGGGTTTTTATTACAAGACCATCTAAGATTCATGTTACACCGTATACCTGCTGGTCACTGGCACTGTAAAGGCCTCCCAACAAACGTAACAGGGAAAGTGCCAGAGACTGAGATAAAAATGGAGCCTCCAGTGTGCTCCTCAATTTTCACAAATCTCCATCCCCACCCCCCTTGCCTAAGGAAGACTAATCATCCATTGCCCCTCATCATGGGAAGAGAATGGGACTCAGTGAGTTTTAGGGACCTCTTGAGGCTCCTTTGGGATAGCTGGATGAGGGGTATCTGACCCTAAACTCCAGCACTGTTCAGTTTTCCCAGTCATCTATTTTCTGGTGAAGAATGATTTGGTTTGAGTTTTTGTAGTGTAAAAAAATTGAATCAAGAGTCACCTATATATTAGGCAAGCACTCAACCACTGAGCCTCTCCACACCATACCCCGCCAAGAACTACTGGCTTTTAAAATTATTATTATTATTATTATTATTATTATTATTATTAATTTATTTATTTATTTTATGTGTATGGACAGAGAAACCTTGTCTCAAAAAACAAAACAAAACAAAAAAACTATCTACAGCTACAGTTCCCATCCAAGGATTGCCATCCTCCTGACAGTGCATAAGTTTGAGTGAGTGTTTTGTACTTACAACCAAAAGTGCTTTGAAAATGGCAGTCCACAGAAGGGGAAGCTTAAAGACTCTGTTCAGTATGTTTCCTGTGCTGGTCCTGAACAACACAGACTCGTAAGTATTAGGATCATGGGGGTCTAGGGCTTCCTAGGAATGTTGATGCTACATAACGTTAGCATGTAATATTTCCCCTCTGTCATGCCAAAGCATGTCCTTTTGCATTTCACTCCAAAAGTCTGACTTATTTCATGTTGTGGAATAATCTTTGTGTACACTGTGAATATGTGTTGCTC